CCCCAAAACCCCAAAACCCCAAAACCCCATAAGATGGTTTAGAGATATATTTAGGGAATGAGCGAGATTTGAATTATAATAAATTTAAAAAGTAGCAATGAAATCAAAAAAGAAGAAGGGAAGCTTTGGTTCAAACGTAGCTCTCCTGTTTCAGAAAAAGTAAGATTCACTAGTCCTAATATAACTGCATTTAGTTATCACAATAAAAGACCATTGACAGAAGCAGAAATAATAGAGGAGGAGTTTGAAAATTCAGGACAAGGTCAGTTGCCAGCAACAATTTCTCTGAAAAAACAAATGCACAAACTTATCAACAGCAATCAATTCTCAGTTCCAATGGATTCCATCAATTGTATACTTAGTATCTCGATATCATGCCTCTATATATACTCAACATACGATCCTCTCACTTTTGCCAAGGAAATGTGGGGTCACTGGCATCCTATTTTTCTCAGTTTTTGCCACATGTACTTCCTGATCGAGTATTTGCTAAGACTGTACACGGCTAAGAACCTATCGGCGTATCTGGTGTCATTTGAAAACTTCTTAGAAATCTTAACAATCGTTCCGTTCATGATTGTGTCATAAAGTCAACCAGATCCATTGAATTTTTGGAGTTTGTTTGTAAGAATGCTTGATTTGCTTAGAATTTCTACTCTATTTAGAGCTTTGAAATACATTGAAAACGATATTAATAGAGAATTATCAAGGATTATTATAGGCGCTCTTACTTTAGTTATTGGATTTTCTGGATATATATAATTGATTGAAAATAGAGATGATTTGATTTCTGGAGATTTGACTCATTATTAAAGCTTCTTTGATACTTTATTCTTTATAATGACTACAATATCAATTGTAGGATATTATTCGCCTGTGTAATCATTCGAAGGAAAAATTAGTATTATTTTATTAATGGCTATTGTTGTGATTGTTATTCCAAGTTAATCATCTAAAATGATCTAATTAATAAGCTCAAAGTCTGTTTACGCTCGTAGACAGTACAAATCTATTGATAAGATTCCTCACATCGTCCTCATAGGATCAGTTTCATAAATAACACTGTTTAATTTCCTTGAGGAATATTTCCATTAGGATCATGGTTAACATGGTAGGCATTGTGTTATTATGATGCCGTAGAGACCTGATCCAACTTTTGAAATGGAACTTATGCAATCAAAGTATGCTACTAGTGTCTTCTATATTGAAGGAAATCCTTTGGATTAGAGAGATTTGAGAAGATGTTTAGTGGAGAAGTCTAAGGCTGTCGTTATTTTAAGTGATAAGCTTTCTTTTGATACCCAAAAGGAGGATACTCATACAATCCTTTAGGCAATGGTTATAAAAAACTATCTAAGTTCTAAAACAGATAAAAACTAGTCAGCCTACACCTAAATCTGCATGTAGTTGTTGAAACCAGAAAGTATTACCCACTATGAGCTCTCTCTAAATAAAGAAGACCTCAAGAATGATCAGATCGTTTGCATTGAGTCAATGAAACTTAGTTTATTGGCTAAGAGCTGCTTATGTCCTGGCCTAGTTGTATTGATCACAAATCTTATAAAATCCTCGAAAAATCCTCCCAAAGAAATTACAGATGCTGTAGAGTAAAAGAAAAATAATAAGCATTTAGAATGGCTTCATGACTACTGGCAAGGTAAAACTTTTGAAATCTATAGAATCGAGATCCCTTCAGCCTATGCCGAGTAAACATTCAGCAGTATTGCTCTTGAAGTTTATAAGGACTAGAAATTTGTCCTCTTCGCTCTAGAGATAGTAGTAAATGATACTCCGAATGGAGAGATTTTACTGAATCCAGGAGCATAGAAACTTCCAAGACCTTAGGGATAGAATGTTACTTACACCTATTTCGGTTATATTATTGCCCCAGATAAAGAACTTGCAGAGCAAATATTCAAGAAGAAAGGTCTTACAATCAAGCAGGCTGTAACTAAGAACATTGAACAAAGCCTAATGGTAAGTATTATTAGCCACATAACTTGATTAGAAACATTCTAAGGTTACTGAACCTAGAAATTACTTTGGAATGGGCACAGGGGAAAATGATAATGAGAATGACAATGTAATTCAAGTTGAAAATATTGAGGGGTAAGTAATGTTTATCAATTTTATTTAAATCATAGGGATTGGCTAAAAATGTGCCATAAAGCATCGAAGGAGGTCTTAAAGCAAGATATCGAGTTCAAAACACTTTAGGACTCTAAACTTGCAGAGAATCATATTGTTATTTGCGGAATGGTCGAAAATATCAGACATTTCGTAATGCCTTTAAGAGCAGATCATCTAGTCGACCCTTCACCAATCGTTATTTTACATGATGAAGAATTGACAGGAAAGTAGTGGCAGCAGTTGAGATACTTCTCAGAAATTTACTTTGTTAAGGGTTCTCCTCTGAGTGAAAGCTCTTATGACAGAGTCAATATTAACAAAGCCAAACAAGTCGTAATTCTTACTCCCAATGTCAATAAAGTCGCAAGGGATAAGAGTTTTCCTGGTGATCAAAAGAAAGGTAATGAGCCTAGTTAAGAAGACTTTTAAATGAGCAAGGATGGAGAAACATTACTTGATGCAAAAACTATATTCAAATACAACATCATAAAAAAGAAGAATCCTAAAGTTAATGTGGTAACAGAGTTGATATCCCAAGATAACATTGCATTCTTACTCGATAATCCCTTACTATATCACTTAATGAAAAAGTATGAATATGACTAAACGCCAACATTTGCAAGCGGGGAAGTCTACTTGTCATCATTAATGGATTCATTGCTTTGCCAAGCTTACTATAATCCAGCTTTACCAACAGTATTAAGATAATTAATCGTAGGTGAAAATAAGAAGAAGAGAAAAAGGAATGGTTCTTCTACTCAAAGCAATGGGTATGGCTCTATTAATGCACTCCTTGGAGATAATAGCATTATACCGGATGGCGATTTTTCTTAGATAAAAACTAGTAACCTTTATCATTTGCCTGTCCCACCTAACTTCAAAGGAAAACCTTACGCAAAGCTATTTTCTCATCTGACTAAAAAGAGATTTATGATACCATTGGGATTATATAGAACTGAAACAGTATCATTTAGTGCCTTTGATGATGAGTAATAGTAAAAGCATCCTTAGAGAAGGAAAACAATGAATGGCTAAAGCACAGCCTAGTCTCCATCGGAATAAGAAATCAAGTATGTAGTAACAAACCCTGAGTAGGACTTGGAACTTCGGTTGAATGATGTAGTTTTTGTCTTAGCTTAGGCTGACCCAAGAGATCACAGTGCTTGGGAAGATCTTTAGAATCTGAATCTTTCAGAAACTTAGAAGCCAGAATCAAATAAGGATGGAAGAAATAGAGAAGATGACTTTTTTAGCAATACTGAGAATAAGTATACACAGGCTGAGGATGAGGATATCATTGAAATCAAACCAAATGATCAAATGCAAGGGTAAATGTAACTTATTAACAATTTTTAGAGCAAAGTAAGCTAAGATAGACTTTGACCAAAGAGTTCAAAGAATAGCAGAGAGGGTGAAAATCTTAAGAAATGATGTAGTGTATCTGAACAAGCACATCAACAAGAGAAACAACAACATAGTCAAAGATATTGTCACCTAAATTGAACAGTTACTTGATTTTAACGCCGACGGTTTTGATGAAAGAGATGAGAATGAAAGCAACAATCCCTAGATTCAAGGTAAAGTATTATTCCTTTTAATACATATCTAGTTAAAAATCACTAAGAGTGAGGTAACATTAAAACGAGGAATACAAGAATCTAAAATTCATATGATATTTTAAATTAATCTTGATTTCATAATGAATTATCATCTCTCGGGGTTTTGGGGTTTTGGGGTTTTGGGGTTTTGGGGTTTTGGGG